ATTTGAGTCTCAACCATATTAGGCGGAACAAATGAGGCCTGCTTGAGGAATAAAGATAAGAGGAAATCAGACCAAAATATAACTAAAGTAATAAAGCAAACATGACTAAATCAGAGAAATCAGACCTTATTACAATATTTTTAAAATTATATTAATAACTCATTCATTACATTTCTGTTATGTATTGAGAAAATGTGTTATTAATACATGTCGTAATAATTATTAATCGTTACATCTTAAATTGTTGACGACTACACTTTTAATTGTTAATGCATACTTTAAAAAAAAGATAAAAGCAATTTGGTAATTAGACAAATAAAATTTATTGCAATAAGATCCTTTAGGATTTCAGAATAATTTAATAATTTTAAAAGACTTTTTTGTATTTAATTTTCTTAAACAGGGCCTTATTGTAATTTTTCCCAATTTCTTTCAGATTTGATAACCTTAGTCCTCCACAAGGATAGTTTTATATTTTCACCTCTGTGCCAAGTCTTATTACTTCAATGAGGGTATGCTTAAGAAGTTATTATTAGCGTGATAATTTATGATACAGTGAGTAATAATCGGCGTTTTTTATTTTTTAATACGGTCAAAATAGAGAAAATAATAGGAATTGTTCTTTTTGAAAGCGACACTTTGTGCATTTCTTTTGTATATTTTGTGAATTTTTTAAGATAAATTTGTTAGCTTAATATAAGACATCTTGAAATTGACAGCTAAATTTCGAAAAGGCAAGTTGACACTTTTTTGGGGAAACGAAAAACAAGTAACGTACTAATTTTCAATTTCCCATCCACCTTGGAGTATTTGGTACCAACTGTCAAGGAAATGGGGAGTAATGATACTCGTAAACATTTTGTGAAATCCTTTTTGAAAAAACCTCACATATTGTCGAATCGCCGTCATTGCAATTGATTTTTTTAAAAAAGAAATTCACTGTTAACTTCTGGATTGGCGCGTGTGAATCTCTTCCATGGATGTCTTTGTATGATTTTTTCCCCCCCTCAAGTCTTGCGAAGAATAAGGTTTCTGAGAGTAAATTCAAAAATTTGGGGTCTTATTTATACATAATTAATTTAATTACATGATTTCTTTTTTTAGGGTCGCTTAAATCCACTCATTACCCCATTGATAACATGAAATGGTACAGGTTGAGATACTCACTCACTTTAAAAAATTACAAGCCACTTTTAATTAGTTTACACTTAAAAAAAATAGTTTTCATGCCAATGGACTTGCAGCTTATATTAATAGCATAAAAACTCTACTATAAACAGGAGGAGGTTGTAGGATTAATCCTACTTATAATTTTAAGTCATTAGTGCTTGATCTTTTAATTGAAAACAAACTTATAAAAGCAATTCAAATATGTATATAATACATGACTCAATATATTATTCCAAAATAAAAATATAACCATGCTTATTGATTATTTGAGATCCAAAGCATAGATAAGAGTAGTACAATTATTATTTTTGGCACCATTCCTACATATCCATACACACAATATGTGAATAAAAATAGGTAAGTCCTAATTATTAAATTTTTATTTTTTATAAGTAATTTTTTTTGTACAAAAGAATAAAAAATATATATATTTATTATGTGGGTTAAAGTGTAAATTTGCTTTGAAAGTTTTTGCTTATGTTGGGCACCTAAGAGATTTTTCTGTGCAAATTTATTTGGAAAGTTTAAAATTGTAACAATATTACCCTCCTACTGTTAAAAAACTATCGTTGACTGTTAAAATAATGATAATGACCGTTAACATTTTTAACAGTAAAAGGCATTATTGCTATGATTCTAAATTTTCAAGATAAATTTGGACCAAAAAAATTTTGAGTACCCAACACTTATGAATGAAAATTTTCAAAATAAATTTGCACATTAATCCTATATATATAATACAAAAATTCTTAACCAATTATATTGTTCACGATAAATAGTGCGGCTCATTTATTAATATTATGATTTGATTTTTTTTCATTTTTTATCCATTAGAAAGAACTCGCACAACTATCATATTCTATGATCTCACATTAAAAAAAAGACTTAAAAGAAGTACTTAGTGCCATCGCGTCCCCAGCGATTTAAAAGTATAACTAAAAAATTTATTTCCAGTCTAAACTTGTATATAAATTTTTTTGCCCAATGTTTATTGCACATATATTGGCCCTTTCGTTTTGTCATTGCAAGAAATATTATGAATTCCCCTAATCTTTGAGATCAATCCCCCACAAAATACACACACACACACACACATATAACCTAAAATTTTTAAAAACTTACACTACTAATAATTCATGAACTATTAAAATTTTTCAAAAGAAGAAAGGCGGGGGGGTAGAGAGAGATACCTGACGCAATGATAAACAAAACCCTTGCGCAAACCAAATTGTGTGAAACTTTTGCCATGTCTTTTATCTTTTTTCTTTTTTTTGGGGGGGGGGGTATCAGCACCAGAAAAAATTGTTTTTGTTTCATGTAGGAAGGAGAATGGCTTTGAATATATATGCGAAACCAAAATGAACTACATGAAAATAATATTTTTCATACAATGAATATTTAATTATTCATGCAAGAAATAAATATGATAGTTATGGGTTTACAAATTTTGAATATATAATTCTTTGAATGATTGATTTCCAAAATAAATTAAATGGATTCATATTTTGATGAATAGCATCTGATAAAAATAATTAAATACCTAGTTACTATGGTAATGGATACTAATATCAAAATTAGAGTCGGTAATTTGGATTAGCAATTGTCAAAAATTTTAGGACTAAGCTTAGAAAAGCTAAATCATGCCTTTTATTTGTTTTCTGTTTTTTTGCTACAAATAACGATGCCTTCAGTGGGCCTAAATAGGGTTAAAAAGGGTTAAGCCCATTTAGGTTTGGATTGGCCCAAATACATGTACTTATTGATTTTACACGTGAAATAATTATTAAACTTAATATGAATTAAAACTAATTATCATGCATGTCTACATACAAAGGAGAATCAATTTTCATTGTTTTTTCATTTCTACTAATTTCAATATTGTTGTATTTTTTTTATTTATCCATTTTTATGTCTTTGCTTGATTTTTTCCTTCCTTTCTTTTTTTTTTGCCCTAATGTTCACGGAGAAGAAAACTATTGCAATCAGGAGCGGTGGAAAATAATTGTATTATGGCACAATTTTCATTGGTTAATAAACTGTATAATATATATTTATCTCATTTTTTAAATTTATGTGAGGTGTATATTGGTGATTTATATTTAATAAAGTATGCATTAGCGCACATATGAATGTGCTCGTGCGCGTGTCGATAATTTCTTTCAAATTTGAAAACCTCATTCCTCTGTAAGGATGGTTTTGCATTTTCACCGTTTGAAAAATTTTAATTGGAGAAAAAAACTCTTTTTTTGGCCATCAGGGAAAAAAACTGATTAATATAATGTAACACATCATAAATGTAATTAACTTTTGAATTTAAAAGTGGCATTTGTGCATCTTTTCTATATTTTGTAAATTTTAAATATGAGTTTTTCAAACTGATACAAAACGACTTGAAATTGACAGCTGAATTTGGAAAACACCTGTGACTTGATTTTTTTTTTTGTTGGTTTTTTTGAAAAAAAATAATGAACAAATCTTGAACTGCCTATTAGTTCATTGAAGAATATAGGTGACGGGTTTTTTTTGTTTTGTTTTTTAATCGAGTGACGTTGTGATATTATCTAGCATATTTTTGTCAACTATTATATGCACGGAACATAACAAGATTACGTACCCTGAAAATTTAAATAGGGAAATTAAATTTTGAATTCCTTCTACATATGTCCCCTTGTATGATTTTTTGAAGTCTTTTAAATAGTGATTGTTTTTAAAGATTTTGAGAGTAATTTTAAAAATTCGAGGTCCTATTTATAGAGGATTGATTTAATTATATGATCTTTTTTCGTAGGGTCGCTTAAATCCATCTATTAACTCACTGATAACATGAAATGGTATGGATTAATTGTGAGATACTCACCCACTTTAAAAATTACAAGCGGCTTTAGCTTAATTTGTACTTAAAAATAATTTAGTAATTATAAAATAGATTTTATATCAATGATCTTGAAGTCTAATGACATAAAAACCCCCATGATAAACTGGAGGGTGTAAAGACACTAGTACAAATTGTTAGTTTGACTACTAGATTTTGCTTTTGTTATTAAAAGAACAGAAGTAATAAGAACTTATGGTTTCTGTTGCATTAAGAACAGAAGCCATAAATAAGATTGTCATTTTATCACTACTGTTATATATATAACAAAAGCCTTACATAAATATATCAACTATATATACACATGTAAATTAACTTTCAAAAATTTTAAATAAGATGTAAATAAATTGCCACTTAAACCAATAAAAATTTTTAAAACATGTAAATTTTAAAATAGAACAATAATTGCGCACATTATAAAATTAAACAGTAATGGTGCCTGGTTTGTTTTGGACCAGATGCCATGGGTGAATGAAAATCGTTAAAAAAACGATTGTTATCACACCTATTTGTATTGTAAGGCGTCATAAGTTTTTCGAAAAAGAGAAACGTTTTTCTTTTTGGGCCTGAGAATAAGAAAAAAGTTTAAAGAACTGAAACTTCAAAAAAAAAAAAAAATTCATAAAAATATTGGTTCCTCTTTCCCTCCACAATGCTTCATTTAGTATTTCAGCTAGTGCCTTAATTTCGGACTCCATTTTCCTCCATAATTTATAACCTTAGGCCGCTGATACTTTTATCTTTAATTCAAAATAAAATGTTATAAAAGCAATTCAAATATATAATTATCGACATAAGTGCCATATTTTCAAGGAGTATCTAGTACCCAATCTTTTATATGGTGATAGTTTTGTATTTTCACATATTATTATCGATATAAGTGCCATCAGTCTTGACAATCAAAATATTTTTTTAAGAATAATTTGATATCCAATATCACTGGCTAATCCAAATTTTAAGAATAATATTTTCACATATCTTATATGCATTATAACTTACAACTATGGGTCAGGCAAGAGAGCATTAATGATTTAAATTAATTAAAGTGATGTGGAGAAGGAGGAGGAGGTTTCCGACAACAAATACAACACTTTTTGAACCGCATGATGTGTTGCAGTGTCCATGGTTCCCGTAGTTACTGGCATCTCCTCCACCTGTCCTCTTATTTTTTGGCACAAATCCTACAGACCTACACACGTACATACAATAAAAAGTGTGTTAATATAAATAGTTTTCAATGTCTGGCCTTAGTTTAGTTTTGATTAATTTTATCGGTGAGAAGGACCCATAAATTTTTATACACAAAAAGTATTGGTATACAGTATTGATACTATGATAATTAGGTCCTTCTTACCAATAAAGATTTTCTATAAAAGGTTTTTTCCCTAAATTTCTCTTTTAAAATTAATCATATTATTCTTGAGCTATGTATATTTTTAAGGCCCCATGCAATGCTTCAAGCAAGCATTTGAGGCATTCCAATTCTTAATTATTAATTAACCTTCTATGTACAAAGCAAATATTGTTGGACAAAATCCATGATATTTTCAGTGTCTTCTAAATCAAGCACATACGGAGCGGAATGAGACATAGAACATGAATATGAATGTATACGGTGTATGTGTGTGCATATTGACATGCCATAGAGGAACTTATCTGTATGTAACTCAAGCTCAATATCTGTTATGAATAAGTATAGAGGAAGTACCTTTTCGAGAGTCTAGTGTCTACATGTCTACATGAGGGATATGAGCAATTTTAGGCCAATCTGGTCCTTTATCCTTTTCACACCTCTCCTTCAGCAACGGACATTCATCACCGATTGTTAAACGAGTGAGGGATGGAGGTAAAGCATCTTCTTCTGGCATGCCTTCAAAGCTCACGTGACAGCACCAAAAAAACGATAAGGAAGCGAGAGAATGGAGGTGCACAAGACCCCTATGGTTTATTCTTCTCAAATTGTTACAAAATTCAAAAGACAGAGAGTGGAGATTGGGTGGCAACAATCTCTCTTCCTCAGGGAAGTACTCCATGACGTCATCAATAATTACAAGATGTTTCAAAGACAACAACTCATGCAAACCCCCATCCCTACCACACGCAATGAGGTTGGAACACCGACTGATTGAAAGAAGTTGTAGGTTGGAAAGCATACCTCCTTGGGGAAGAGATTCCATTGCTGGACAATCCCATAAGCATAGGTCATGGAGAGGTGGAAGCACATCTGATATGCTCCATGTGGGCATGTCTTTCACTGATATCTTCGTACAATTACTTAAAGATAGCCTTTCTATGGAAGAGGACTTGGGAAGCGTGGCTGCCAAATTCTCACATCTCAAAATGTCTAGTGTTTTTAAACAAGTAAGATGTTGAGGCAGAGACTTTGTTAGTCTAGGACAATCATGTATATAAAGTTCTTCAAGGCATGGGAAACTTTTACCTTCATAGCATATATCCCATTCTTCCCATTCTCTCATATAAGAAAACTTTAAATATGAGAGGGAAGGAAATGGTGGAGCAATTAAGGAACCATTCCCATAGAACTCTTCACCTATCGCCTTTATTCCATCAAATCCATTAATCGTGAGTTTCTGGAGGGAAGGTAGTTGCCCAAGAGGTGGTAATAAGCTCACATCGTTGTTACCACCCAAATGTAAAGACACTAAATTGGGTAAAACATGTGCAACACCAAGAAGCCACTTTGGAAATTTGGTACCTCTGTATCCCTCAATGGTGAGCTCTTCCACACTCTGATTTGGCTCAACTGCTTCCAATACGTGCTCCTGGCTTTGCGGCTCTTCACGACTACAGCTGTTTCCCCGATACCACAACGTCAATTTATCCAATTTCTTTTCTTTCAAATTGGCCTCCCTCACATCTGTAGGATTACTTACATGCTCCATATTTGAGATGGTTAGTGAGCCCGTTAAGTGGTTAAAGGCTCCTAGTTCTTTTATATTTGATCCTCCTTTCTTTGCCACAACAAACTTATTCATTATTCGGAGCTGATTTAACTTTCCCATACATCTTGGCATCTTCTGTATGTCACAATATTCCAAGTCAAGATGACGCAAGTTAGTGAGTTTGTAGAAATTTGATGGCAGCTCAGTCAAGTACCTGCAACCTCTTAATTTCAATGTTTGTAAATTAATCAACGAACACATTGAATTTGGCAATTTCTCAACTAATGTGTAGGAAAGATCCAAATAATGCAAGTGCTTTAAATTGCTAATGCCATCTGTCAAGCTTCTCAAATTTAGAGATCCATTCAAAGATAGTTGCCGCATGTACTTGAGACGACAAAGCCTGGACATTATATCATTGCCAATGCTAAGACTGCCCAATAGGATGAAACTACGTAATTGGTGGCATTTTAGAACTTTCCCAAAAATGTCAACATTATCACTTTTGCATCTTATATGTGAAAAGTAACGAGTCTTGGTTGACATATCTTGTGCCTGAGCAGTATCGAGCCACACAAAAAACTCTCCTGCCATAGATTTTGCTAAATCATTCAGAAGATCATGCATGATGAAATAATTGCCACCTCTTTTTGATGGCTCAAAGAAAGACCTAGACTCTAGATCTTTGAAAATTTCATCACCCATTTCTTCAAGGCTCATATTTCTTTGAGTTGGATATATTAAACCATCTGCCATCCACAATTGGATTAAGACATTCTTGTCTATATCATAATCTTTAGGAAAGATGGAGCAATATGCAAAACAACGTTTCAGATTTGATGGTAAATAGTGGTAGCTTAATCTTAAAGATGGGATAGTGTTGCTGTCACTTTCTGGTAATTGCCAAATCTCACTTTTCAAAATCTTATCCCAATACTGAAGAGAGAGTTTTCTGTGCAACAAACTTCCCAGTGTTTTTATTGCTAAAGGCAATCCTCCACACTTGTTGACAATTTCTCTGCCGATTTGTATAAGATCTTGATCTGCGCCATAATGTTGGTTGTTAAATGCATGTTTTGCAAATAAATCCCAGCAATCTCTATCTTCTAATGGCTTCAAATGATATGTGGAGGCACAACACATCACTTCTGCTACCCTTCCATTACGGGTTGTGACAAGAATCTTACTTTGTGGTACTACATTTTTCAAAGGAGCAGTGAAGACCTCCCAAATTTGACAATTCTCATTCCAGACATCATCAAGAACGAGAAAGAATTTCTTGCCCATTAACATCTCTTTTAGTTTAAGCTGGTATGAGTGAAAATCATGTAATTCTCCAGTTGGACAATTAAGTGAATGAAGAATTGCTTTTGTCACTTGAATAACATCAAATTCTTGAGAAACACACACCCAAGCTCTATGTTGAAATTGATCCTTCATCCTTTGATCTTTGTAAACAAGTTGTGCAAGGGTTGTCTTACCCATCCCACCCATACCCGTGACGGCAATCACATCCATAGGCAATTGATTCCTACATCCCCTGTTTTGTGATAGTAAAATCTCTACAATCCTCTCTTTATCAGCATCTCTACCATATATATTGGATTCATCTATCAAACGTGTTGTAAGCAATCTCTTGTATACTTTTTTGTTCCCTCCTGAATGATCACCAGCAGATGGCCGTTCCCGTAATCCCAATATCTCATTTTGCTTCATAAGGATATCTAGGTTATTAAGCACTTGTTTGATCCCTGACTTTATCTTTTTGTCAAATCGAATTTGATTAACAAAAGCAGGAAAAAAGCCTCGCACCTTGTTGATAACAACAGTTTGAAATTCAGCATCCAGCTTTTGTCGTGATGCCTCGCTAGCAATGTCGTCCAGCAAGTCTTGAGCCTTAAAGACTTCATCTTTGAGCTCGTCAAGCCACTGCTTCACACGATGGTCTCTGTATTGCCTTTCCTCTGCATCTTCAACAATTTTGTCCACAGAAATAAGGATAACAAGCAATTTTCTCCGTAAATCATCATTGATCTTTCTGGCTCGAAAGTAGTCGAGAAAGTCACGAGAAGCCAATCTCTCAAATGCCACTTGAAGGAAAGAGGAGAGAAACGCTCCAGCCACCAACTCCGCCATGTTAAAGCTAAGAGAAAGTATTCAGCAACAAGAAAGGAAGAAAACTGGACAAAGATAGAACGAGAAATTGAGAAATTGTTAATGCTTCACTAATGAGTGGTGGGGCATAGATAGGCGAAAGTCTTTCTTTGGTTGTCTGGAACTGTGGATGCTTCTAAGAAATTGCTCTGAAGTTATGAAGTGCAAGATAAGGCTTGAATTTGACTGACGCATATGAATTTGCTAGTCCAGAGAGACTTTTGAAAATTCTACTTTGCCATCGACCAGTCTTCCAATACCCATTCTTGTTTTTGTCCTTTACCTAACTCTAATAATTCTCCTTTTCTTGCTTGTACTTTGAAAAACGATACGAACCACAAGTGAGGATAGAGAATTTAGATTCTTATTTTATCCCAAGCGATTGCAATATTAATTAATGGGGGGAAAAGCCTTCGGCAACTTCATTGCAATTTGTAAAATATCCAAGATGATAGTAAAATAATAAGATATTACATGAAAAGCATGCAGGAAAAAAAAACATCAAACAATTAGTTTAATTGATTGTTTTGCACTTTTCCCCTCTCAGCACAGGTTGTTGTTTGAATTATAGCATGGGTATGTGATGATGCCTCTATCATTAAAGCAATTAATTAAATTAGGTCCTAATTAATTTGTAATTTAGAATCGACCTAGATCATTACTTCCAAGGAGCAAGTTATAAGTTTTTTAGGTAAAAATTTAGGTGATAAAAAAATACAATAAATTGGACCTAAACTAAAATGCAAAATTCTAATTCTAAATGCAAGATGCAAATATCCTAAAATCTATATGAAAATTAAATTAAACTAAATGAATGCCAATGCAATTTTTGGGGGATCTTTTTTAGAAGAAAAATAAAAATAATGAATAAAGAAAATTAACTAGAGAACAAAAAAAATTAACAAGTAAAATTGAGAAATTTCTTTTCATATACAGTAGAGGCAACAACTTAGGATTCACATGAATTTAACCTTCTTAACCTTAATCAGTTAATTAGATCACAGGAAAATGATAAGAGAGTGGAATTCATAAATTTTAATCATCTACTTAAAACAAAGGGAACCCTCAATTTGAAAACCTCTTAAACCATTAAAGAACTCATAACAGTATAAGGCTGATTAATTAAGCTTATTAAAACTAATGAAAATAACTCAAATTTATTCTAAAAATCATGTTTGAAATTATCCAATTAAATAATTAGACAATTAATCAACTTAATCAAACAATTAAGAGGCAAAAGAACCCAAATTTTGTAATTCAAATCATATTGATACTTAAATTCATAATGAAAACTCAATTATAAATTCAATTAACAATGCAAAAATTCATAAACATAAATTCCATCAAGTGTCTCAACACAAATAAAATCCAAATATCAATTCAATCCAAGCATAAAAATGACAATCAAAAACTAAATTGTCTCACAAAAAATACAACTTAAAATTATTTAAACCTAAATAATCTCAAGTCCTTGAATTAAAAACATAAATGGAATATCACTCATTTGTGGTCTTTAATTGCTAGCCCAAAGCTCAAACCTCCTCCATGCTCCTCCCAAGTTGCATCCCAAACAAGTTCAAGCTGCCATGAAAATTATCTTTACGGCCATTGAAGGAAAGTGGATGAAAGGTGGAATGATCGGGGACAAGGTCAAACCGATGCAATTGTGGCGGGTGAGTGGAAACAGTATAATAATGGAATTGTGGGGATTATGGGGCGAATGGAAAAAAGACCAAGAACAAGTGGCTACGGTGGTATATGTTGGATTGGCGGCTAACATATTTAATAAGAGGAGAGGGATTCTTTTTGGATCCAAAACTCAAACTCATTAATAATTAATTGACCCATTTGATAATAGTTATTGGATTGTGCTTAAATTCTAAAAAATAATCTTGTACTGTTAGATTTCCTATATGTTCTTTCTTAACTTACAAAAATTTAAGTGCATTCATTAATATAGATTATATCCAAATATAATAAAATATATATATCAAAAATTAAATATTAGATATGCACAAAAATTAGGCAAGAAATTGCAAAACTTTCTAAAAATAATTTTTCAAAAAATATGAGACTTATTTCCAAAGAAATAGGAAAATTAATTCCAAGTCAAAAATAGGAAATCATAAAATATTTAAAATTTTAATCTAAAATCTCAATTTTTATGAAAAATCTAAAAATCAACCAATTAATTTAATAATGCATAAAAATCCATTTAAACTCAAAATTGTCACTTAAATCCTAAATTAATGTGGGATAAAATGCATAAAAATAATGAACTAGTTCCATATTAGTTCCATATTATTGAAGACAGCAAAATAAACCATAAGAATATAAATAATAACTTCTGTTTTTGCGCTAACGTTCATAACCTATGGTTTTCCAGAAAAAATTCCAACTCCTGTTAGAAGAATTTCCCCTTTCCACATTCGTTCCTCTATTGTTGCTATAATTATTTGGAGGATTGATCTCAATAGTATGCTCTTCTTTTACCCAATGTTTTAAAAGCCGGACCGGAAGTCGAACCAGAAAGATCAACGGGTCATGGTTCAATCGGTCGGATCGGTCGGACCGTTCGGTCAGACCGGTGACGCAATAATTAATTTAAAAAAATATTATATACATATAATTAATATATATAAAAAATATCAAATTATTAAATAATTTAGAAATGCATTTAAATAATCTAAAATTATAATAAAATCATTGAAAATGGACTAAAACCTTATATATTTAATTTTATGTATGTTTAAAATATTTAATGATATTACAAATTATCAATTCATTCAAATCAAAATATTTTTTTAAAAGATAGATCAAATATCGAAACAAAAAGACTAGCGACTCACGATTTTAACACCATAATATATGAAATTTTCAATGAAATAATACTATATGGTTATAACTAGTCTAAAAATATATTAGGATATTTAAGGGGATCAATTTTTTTATTTTTCTTCTATTTTTTAAAGTTTTTTTAGTATTTTTCAATCAGGCTAAAAAACCGTCCGGTTTTCTGAAAACCGTTCCGGTTCCCGGTCCAACTCCGGTTTCCGGCTTAATAATGGCTCAACTCCGGTCCAATCCGGCTCAACTATGTGAACGGTTTTTTGGTCCAAACCGAGCCGTTAACGAGTCCGGGTGACGGTTCAACCGGTCCGACCGTCCGGTCCGGTCCGGTTCTTTAATCATTGCTTTTACCTCTCGAGAGCCCCATTCAATGTAACAATATTACTTTTCCTTTTATTTTTTTAATCCCACTTTTGCATCATCATATTGTGCCTAGAAAATTTTGGAAATATTACTAATAAAGACTAAATTCAGAAATTATTTATTTCTTTTGATTAAGTTCAGGTTTTTATCAACAATCAGATTACGAAAATTTACAAGCATTCATTCAAGCGTGTAACACTTAAAAGCCTTTAGAATAAATAGTTTCTGAATTTGGTCATTGTGAATAATTTTTCAATTTTTTTCATGATCCCTTTGCCTTTTTAAATTATCCCCCCTAATAAATTAAAAAGATTTCAATCTCATTAAGGACTACTCTCAGAATTATAATTTTTCTACTGACTTGTGTTTAAAAAAGTGTGCACGCACATGCGTGCCTGTGTTCCTGCGCTTATGTGATGATTCTTTTAGATTGGTGACCATTTTCATCTTTAAGGATAGTTTGCATTTGTGTGATTAATCTTGACAATCAGAAATATTTCTTTAGAACAATTTAACATCCAATATCACTACCAAATCCAAGTTTTAAGTATAGTTGAGGCTGGAAAAAAAAACAGAGAGAGAGTTTTCAGCTCAAACTAAAATATATATAATTGAGTCTCCAAAATCTCACACCCACGGTCAACACACTGGTGACTGTTGCCGTAGCTCTGTCCCTGGCGGACAGCCGACTGCCGGTGGTGGCTGGATGCCAATGGGTCTCTTGCAAGAGCTGTTTTCTTTTTTTCTTTTTCTTGCAAATGGGAGTATTTTAGTCTTTTCCCCCATATTTCTAAATTCATAATTAAGACTTAGAAATAAGAATGACAAGTACTTTTTTCCCGTAAATCATCATTGAGTTTTCTGCCACGAAAGTAGTTGATATTTTGAATTTCAATTACGCAATAATTTCCCGGAAGCACCCAAACAACGAAAGGAAGACTTTCGTCTGTCTATGCCTCAACTCTCAGTAGTGGAGCATTAGCACCTTCTCAATTTCTTGTTCCATCTTTGTCCAGTTTTCTTCCTTCCCACTGAATATTTTCTGTTAGCCTTAATGTGGCCGAATAGGAACCCGTTACAATATTAGTATAGGTTTTGACAACAATAATATAGGTTTTGATAACAATTTTTATGGATGGGTTCTTGTGTGTAATTTTTTAATTTTAGTGATTTTTTTGGTGATTTTTCCAAAAAATAATACATAAGTAGCGGTATTTTAGTGGAAAAATAATGAATCCAACGTAACTAGGGTTGCGCATAAGTAGGATTAGGCTGAGATTCACCTCAACCCAATGCCCAACACAACGTGCAGTAGGAGCCGATATCGGTATCTAAATAATAGCGTCGGACTTTGACCCAACCAGAAACGTTCTGAAAAAAATATTTTAGAAATAAAAAAAAATATTCATCAACAGAAAATTGTAGTTCACATCATTTAAAATCATTTTAAGGACAAATTTTGTTTCTTCAAATAAGACTTTTCAGTTATTTTCTCAAAAAACAATGTATTTATTACACATCCTGTACTTTATTTTGTATGCTAAAAATTGAAACAAATTTAAATCAAGTTTCTCATATCTATCATGTTAAGTCCTCTGATTATACAACATGGTCATTTGTTCTTTATTTCATGTAAATTTATAATTAAATACTACTCCTCTAGTTCAATTTATAGGACAGAGAGAAAAAATATTTTTGGATCCTATTTATGGAGTGCTGAGAGAAATTTTTTATATAGATATATAATTTTAAATTTCATTTATTATCATGTTGATTTTGTTTATATGAGGTATAATATATATTAAATAAGGATAAGGTTAAAAAATTATTAAATTTTAAATAAGAATTAATAAAGTTCATGGTTTTACTTAGTCTGTATGAAACATGTTGAGAGTGACTTATAAATAAAATCAGAAAAATGTTAAATATTAATATTTTAAAAATAGAATAGATAGTAACGTGTGATTGTAAAACCTTAACATAATAAAAACAAAGAACTTGACAAAATTGTTGTCTTTACTAATCTTACTATTAATTAATGGCCATAAATTTGGCCAAAAAAATTAATTTACCATTTACTGTCCTTACAAATATTACTATTAATTAATGGCCATAAATGTAGCCAAAAAATAAATTACCATGATGATTATATATAAAACCCCTTCACACTGGAAGGTTCAAAGCCTGTCAATCATCATCCTACCTGTCTCCCACACTGCCATTTATGTCATGGAGACTCCAAAGAAGCTCATTGACTAAGGGGGTGTTTGGATGAGGCAAAACCATGGTTTGCAGAATAGCTTCTGGAGAATAGATTCTGGAGAGAATAGATTTTGAAAGAATAGATTTTCTGGAAAAGTGATTCTGATAAAGTGAGAGTGTTTGGATAATTATTGTCAGAAGTGCTTTTTGATATGTAAAAATTACTAAAAAGGACATAAGTTTAAATGATAATTACATATAATATATATTTCATAATATATGTTTATTTGAAGTAATAAATTTATTAATAATATATATTTTGGCAACATAATAAATATGGCATAAATAATATAAATAATAAGAAATTAGTGTGTATATATATTAATAAAATAAATATGTTTTTAGGAAAATGATTTATTTTGCCAAAGAAAATATTATTTATATTATTTATAAATATAAATAATATAAATAATATTATTTATATTATTTAAATAAGGGATACCTAAGTATCGCCCCCCTGCGTGCTTGTTCGGTTGTTCCCTCCGTGAGCTGGCCTTTGAAGCCCAATAATTATCCCTCCTCAGAAGCTATGCCCCGCCTGTTTATCTAAAACCAAGGTTTGTTGGGCAAAACCAAGGTTTTGCCCAAAACCTTGGTTTTAAAAAAAATGGGGGTGTTTGGCAAATTTTTTGCCAAACCATGGTTTGGCAAACCAAACCATGGTTTGGCATAAAAGCCAAACACCCCACAAGTCGGAAATTGGCTCAGGCTCTATGACGACGGCTCTGTGGATCGCTCCTGGACCGGCCCTCCTGAGTTCAAATTCCTCACTGAACCGGTTCCTTCACACCCTGAATTCCTCGACGGAGTTTCCACCCATGACGTCGTCATCCCCAACTTTTCCGGCCTCCGTGTAAGGATTTATAAACCGGAGACGAAGCCGGGTGATAAGCTTCCGATTCTCCTCCATTTTCATGGTGGTGGGTTTTGCATAACCCAACCCAACTGGTTTTTGTACGCCCATTTCTACAGCCGGCTCACCCGAACGGCCCGGGTCATCTGCATATCGGTTTATCTCCGCCTCGGCCCTAAGAACCGCCTGCCGGGGGCCATCAATGATGCTTTTTTCGGCCTTCTCTGGCTTCAATCGGTGGCAAAGCATGAGGCAAACCAGCCGGCATGCCTCGCTGATGATGGTGCCGACTTCAACCGTGTTTTTCTTATCGGGGACAGCACTGGCCGGAACCTAGTTCATCAGGTCGCCGTGAGAGCCGGGAAGCTTGACTTAACGCCGCTGAGGCTAGCTGGAGGGATAGAGCTCCAACCAGGATTCGTCCGTTCAAGGCGGAGCAAGTCGGAGTCAGAGAATCCCGAGTCACCGTTCTTCACATTAGACATGGTAGACAAGTTGTTAATCTTGGGGTTGCCAGTTGGGAGCAACAAGGACCACCCGATAACGTGTCCGATGGGGGAGGCGGCGCCGTCACTGGACGACGTGGAAGTTCCGCCGCTTCTGGTGTGCGTGGCGGAGAAGGACTTGATCGTGGATACGCAGTTGGAATACTGTGAAGCGATGAAGAAGGCGAAGAAGGAGGTGGAAGTGTTTGTGAGTACCAAAGGAATGGGACATGGGTTTTATCTGAACTCACTGGCGGTGGAGACGGACGCCGATGCGGCGGAGCAAACGGAGTGCCTTGTTGCTAAGATCAAAGAGTTCATTAATAGCCACTGAAAACAGACAGAGGAAGTTTCATGAATCCTCGTTATCCTTCCAGGTTCCAATGAGGGATTATTTTGTATGAGACATGGTGTAATGATAAAATAAGAATAAAAATAGGGTTAAGGTGCACTCAGCACCCCCAAGTATTTTGCCAGGTGCACCCAATGGCCTAAAGTAATTTATGGTGCAATTTTGCCCTCAAAGTAATTAAAATGATGCACCGGTATCCCATGCTAACATATCTGTTAGTTTGACCGTTAAATTGATGAGTCAGCACATTAGACATGCTTATTAGACATGCCACGTCAGATTTTCTAGTCAATCTTGTGCTGACTTATCAATTTAACGGTCAAACTAACAGATATGTTAGCATGGGATACCGGTGCATCATTTTAATTACTTTGAGGGCAAAATTGCACCATAAATTACTTTAGGCCACTGGGTACACCTAACAAAATACTTGGGGGTACTGGGTGCACCTTAACCCATAAAAATACGAAAGGGCTGCTTTTATTTTCTCTTCTTTTATGCCTTCATGCATTTCACTCCAAAAATTGGTATTGGACGCAATCGACTTTAGTTTTAGTGTTCATTAGATAATGAACACTCGAATCTTTCAATGGTTTGGATTTATTTTTTTCCCTTCATATTTTGTTGGAAAAATTATTTTAAGACGTAAAGATTCTAAAATAAAGATATTATCGTAATTATTTTTTTCAAAATATAATTTCTTCCACTTAAAAATAATTAATTGATCAGAGATTAACTATGAGCACCAACTCATCCCCATGATAAACACTAAAATTGTCTGGCAAAAAAGACAAACACCAAAACTGCTTCCGACACCCTAACATTAATTAAAAATTTTCTCATTATAAGATTTAAATTTGTGTGATAAATCGTGTGCCAAGCCTTATCACTTAAATGAGGGCATGCTTAAAAAGTCATTAGCGTGATAATTTATGATTTTTTTAATACAGTGAATAATAATCAGTTTTTTTTTCCAATACAGTCAAGCTAAGCAATGGCTCACACAATAGTGACAATAATAATCAGTGTTAAATATAAAGTCAACGTAAAATAGAAAATAATAATAATAGGAAATGTTCATTTTAAAAGCGACACCTTGTGCATTTCAGATAAATTTGTTAGCTTAATATAAGATATCTTGAAATTGACAGCTAAATTTCGAAAAGGCAAGTTGGAACTTTTTTTTGGGGGGGGGGGGTTTGGGGGGAAGTAATTGCTAATTTTCAATTTTCCATCCACCTTGGACTATTTGGTGCCAACTACCAACGAAATGGGGAATGATACTCGTAAATCTTTTGTGAAATCTTTTTAAAAAACCTCACATATTGTCAACTCCCCCTCATTGAAATTGATCAAAAAAGAAAGAAATTCACTGTTAAATTTCGTCTATGTATGTCATTGTATGATTGTTTTTCCCCCCTTCAAGTCTCGTGAAGACTAGGTTTTTTGAGAGTGAATTTAAAAACTTGGAGTCTTATTTATATGTAATTGATTTGATTATATGTTCTCTCTCTCTCTGTTTTTTTTAAAGAGTCGCCTAAATCCATTCATTACCCCATTGATAACATGAAATGGTATAGGTTGTGAGATAGCCACCCACCTTAAAAATTACAAAGCTAGGCACTTTTAATTAATTTATACTTAAAAAATAATTAGCAATTAAAAAAATAGTTTTCATGTCAATGGATTTATAGCATAATAGCATAAAAACTCCATTATAAACTTCAGGTTGTAGGATTGATCCCATTTATAACTTTAAGCCATTAGTGCTTACCTCTTTAACTTAAAACAAAAGTTATAAAAGCAATTCAAATACTAGTATCTAATGCATGGCTTAGTATATTATTCGAAAATAAGAATATAACTATTGTTATTGATTATTTGAGATCCAAAGCATAGATAAGAGTAGAATAATTATTATCATTATTGAAGCAATGAGGTGAAGATGATCAAATTAAATGAGGAGGTCCCTCACAGCAAACACAAAAGCCACCCTTGCACCTGCTAACTTAACCGGCCACATCACATATCCTGGGACAGAACTTGACGCAGTCTT